AAGGGTACAAAAACTTCAAACCATGGCAGCATACTAAACATACTGTTTTAAATTTCCCAGCCTTATAACTCCAGTATTCCTGCCATATGTGAGTCAGGTCCTCCTGCTTGTTTTGTTTCTTTAAATTGGTATGCCTTGTATTTTTTTTTCTTGGTAGCTAGACATGGTGTAATGAGTAAAAGAAATGGAAGTAAATAGGCTGTTATTAGCCTATTTTTATGCTGTTGATAAGGACATACCATAGACTGGGCACTTTATAAAAGAAAGAGCTTATTGGACTTACAGTTCCATGTGGCTGGGGAGGCCTCACAATCATGGCAAAGATGAAAGGCTCATCTCTCATGTCCTTGTATGATCATCAGATCTCATGAGACTTATTCACTACCACGAGAACAGCACAGGAAAGACCCATCCTCATGATTCAGCTAACTCCCACTGGGTCCCTCCCACATCACGTGGGAATTCAAGACAAGATTTGGGTAGGGACACAGCCAAATCATACTGCAGGCTCTTAGTAATGCAATGGTGAAGTGTAAGGGGATGGGGACCATTGTGTAGCCCCGTAAGTAGTTATAGCCCTATAGTTAGTTATAGGACTGTACAGTGGTCCCCACCCCTTACACCTCACCTCCTCATTACTGAGCCTGTGCCTCTAAATTGTTAACTTCACAACAGTGGGCTGGAGTTGGGTATTTCTCTTTTCCCACATGGAAGACTAGAGCAGACTGGAGTTAGATATTCTCCTTCCCCCAGTTTCACTGATGAAACCCCAACAGTTTAGGTTTTTAAATAGTTTCTCTGGAGGACAGGCCTTATTAACAAGAACTGAATGCTCTGGCATATTTCCAAATGGTTCATTTTCTCCCTCTTCCTTTTGGAAGCATGAAGGTTTTTGTTTGGTTGTTTGTTTTGTTTATTTTTGTTTACCTGATTTTCACTGTGAGGACTGTAGGTAAAACTCTCAAAAGTGTGGAGTTCCTTATATAACTAGGTCCCCTTGGAGTTTTTATCTCTCAGATGATCTACACTGGACTTCTAGCAATTTGCCAATTGCAGTTCAAGTTTTCCTAGCTGGTTTCTGCAGAGGCTTCTGCTGGGGGGATTCTGTTCTGGTAAATTGTGATTCTCTGTATCTGCCTCTCTAGTTCTCCAACTTTGGGGGTGGCAGTTTGTACCGCGATCTCACCTCTTTCGCAGATCTAAGAAGAGTTGTGGACTTTTCAGTTTGTTCAGCTTTTCACTTTTTAGGGTGAAGTGACAACTTCTGAGCACCTAATATCCTAGGCCAGAAACTGGAAGTCCTGTGGACTTTTCACCTCCCTCCTGGGTACACACAGCTACTCTGGCTGTGTGTTTAATGCAAAGCTAAACTCATTTTATTTTTAATATAATGTCATTTAAAAATTATAATCTGTTGCTGAAACTTCAATAGGGATTCATTAGATTTAATGTGAGCTTGGATTAAAGTAGCAGGAAAAGATTTCTTGGATAAATTAATTGCTACAAGAAATGATCAAATTTAATTTATCAAAACAGAACAAAAAACAAATTAGGTAAATGTAATCATTTACATTTTATTAAGAGCCAAGTATATTCAGAAATAGTAAGACACCACTTATTTTATTTTTTTCTGTTCTAAAATGTGGCATACTAAAATACCTCCATTAAAACAGTGCAACAGTATACCATATGTGTAGCATTTTCAGCATCACATAGCCACCTAATATCAGAAGTCATGTCGGATTGGTATAGCAGGTTTAGACTCAGATCTTCCTCCCATGGAGCCCCACCTTTGTTTCATTCATAGCTCCAAAGTCTGTCATTCCACAGGACTTTTTCTTTAATAAATGGAAGAGAAACATCACTGCACATGTTACGGCAGTTGAGTTCTTTTGAATTAGGTTGTTCCAAAAATTACTGTTTCATCTTCTACAGCTCCCCTACTGATTTTTTAGAACTGAGTGCTATAGTTTCTCTTCCTTGAAGTATTCTAACATTTTGCTTGTTTTGCTCAGATCATTTGAAAACAAAATCTGACTTTTTAAAACATTTTCATGTAAAATGTCCTTCAGTCATGGAAACAATGAATAGTAATATTTAAGATGAAATAAACGGTAACATCCCAATTCTAAACTGAAAGTATACAGCTGTGTAGTAGCACAGGTCAGAGGTAAGTGGGTGAAATCCATATGTCCCTGCAGGGGGTCCTGCATTTTAGGGTCATATATATATGGTGTATACACACACACACACACACACACACACACACACACACACACACAGTAAAAACATCACTCATTTTATTTTTTCTACTCTAATATATGGCATATAAAATACATTCATTAAAACAATGACAACTGTATGCTCTATTTGTATTATTTTTTTGATGCTGTGGTCACCTAATATCAGAAGTCATGTTGGATTGTTATAGCAGATGTAGATTCAGATTCCCCTTCCATGGAACCATATGTATTTTGTCATATGTATGAAAAGGGGAAGATCTGAATTTGCACATATAAGAAAAATTATTTCCAGCATGGACTTTTCTTTATCTTTTTTTGTTTGTTTTTGCCCACAAAATGGCTATTGTTGACTCATGGAACACTGTTTGGAAAAGACTATGAAGAGAGTGATTCTTCATCAGTGACTAGGCATCTTTTCAGGGTAGGAACACCCAGATGGGGTTCATTCTGATGGTACAATTTACCTGTGTGCTTGGAGAGCTTTGATCAGATGAAATACATCGTTACAAATATTATATAAAATATATGCTACTTGGATAGAGCTGTGATTCTTTGGAAGTGGAGAAATACATCTCTTTGCACTGGGATTTTGTAAATCTCTGGATTTCCTCAACTTTCCCTCTGGCTTGTTTCTCCATTTTCCTGCTTCTAATGTGGTGAAATGTCATTGGCCTCACCATTACCCATGGATCCATTGCACTTTTATGTGAAGCACCATTGAGACAGGTACTTGTTTCTCCTTGATGGGTTGTTTAGGAAGCCTTGGGCCTTTCAGAATCAGCAGGGTTTTTACGTTTCACTGATTCTAGCTCAGAGTGGCTAGTATTTGTCTTAGTCTCCTCAGAGAGGAGTTTGGAAGTCCACTGCATCTTTTGCTGGGCGGGTGAGGGTCAACACAGACGAGCATCTCTTGTTTCCATTCAGCTTGTGCACTGACTCGGGCTCTCCTGCAGTGCCACACCCCCTGTCTCCCTGTCTCTGAGCAGACCTATGTAGTAAGGTGCAAAGATAAGTTAACAAAGGACTGAAGCCCTGGTCAGGGTCTTCAGTTAAGCCTTCTTCCTGCAGGCCTCTGCACAGAACCAGAAGCAACCTGACTGGGCCACACATACAGAAGGAAGGGAGGGTGGAAAGAGGACCCAGGTAGAGTGAATAATGTAACCATGTGATATGGTTTGGCTCTGTGATTGCACCCAAATCTCATGTTGAATTGTAATCCCCCAGTGTTGGGGGAGGGACCTGGTGGGTGGTGACTGGATCATGGGAGCAAATTTTCCCCTTGCTGTTCTTGTGACAGTGAGTGAGATCTCATGAGATCTGGTCATTTAAAAGTGTGTAGCACTTCCCCCCTTCGCTCTCTTCCCCTTGCTCTGCCATGTGAAGAAGTTGGTTTTTTCCTCTTCACCCTTCCACCCTGATTATAAGTTTTCCAAGGCCTCCTGAACCATATTTCCTGTACAGATTGCAGAACTGTGAGTCAATTACACCTCTTTTCTTTATAAATTACCCAGTCTCAGATAGTTCTCTATAGCAGTGTGAGAATGGGCTGTACACGATGCTCTTAGCTTGCATCTCTTCCCTTACCCAATTTTCCTTCAATGAAAGAATGGTAGGCTGGGCGCAGTGGCTCACGCCTGTAATCCCAGCACTTTGGGAGGCCAAGGTGGGTGGATCACGAGGTCAAGAGATCGAGACCATCCTGGTCAACATGGTGAAACCCCGTCTCTACTAAATATACAAAAAAAATTAGCTGGGCACGGTGGCGCATGCCTGTGGTCCCAGCTACTCGGGAGGCTGAGGCAGGAGAATTGCCTGAACCCAGGAGGCGGAGTTTGCGGTGAGCCGAGATCGGGCCATTGCACTCCAGCCTGAGTAACAAGAGCGAAACTCCGTCTCAAAAAAAAAAAAAAAAAGAATAGTAAAAATAAACATTCTAAACTCCCACCAAATAATACAGCAGTTGCATATTTTTCTTCAGAACAAATAAGTATTAGAATTATTGAATGAAATAAGTCTTTATTCCTGCTTCTCCCTGACCCCACCAAATAACCTCATGCTGTTAAAAACTGTGCTATAGTTATACAATCTTGAATAGACATATATTCAATGCGTAACTCTCTCATCTATAAAGATGATTTGAGTGATTGTATCAAGTTGCAATTTATCACTCGACACTATAATATTTAGTCACATATGACCAATTAAATTACCCAGCCTGACAAAAATCTATAGTGTGGTGCTTATTAATAGCTAATATATTGGTATAATGCATAGAATCATAAAAGTATAGACCTAAGGTATACATTTCTGTTCTTGTGATAGATTAGCAACATTTCCTGATTCAACCTTTTTATTCATTTTTTTATTTTTGAGACCGAGTCTTGCTCTTTGCCCAGGCTGGAGTGCGGTGGATTGATCTCAGCTCAGTGCAACCTTTGCCTCCCGGTTTCAAGCAGTTCTTGTTCCTCAGCCTGTCTAGTAGCTGGGATTACAGGAACCTGCCATGATGCTTAGCTAATTCTTTGTATTTTTAGTAGCGACAGGGTTTCACCATGTTGGCCGGGCTGGTCTTGAATTCCTGGCCTCAAGTGATCCACCCGCCTCAGCCTCCCAAAGTTCTGGGATTATAGGCATGAGCCACTATGCCTGGCCTGATTCAAACATTTTTAATGGTTTGAACAATATCAGAATTACATTCTCCCCTGCTCACGACCTCTCCATTTCTTTTTTTTTCTGCCATCAATATTTTCTTTGAAGATGGAAAGATCCAGAGATGCTGACATATGAGAAGAAGCTTGTTCTGACAATTTCCAGATTAGTTTGGTGGATGAATTTCATGAATTCTGGTGAGAATACTAACTTTTATTAGAATTCTTGGATTTCAGCAAGCCAGTTAGGGAAGATAGTAAGAATTTGGATGTGTATCTCCAATGTCATATAGCTTTCATGTTATTATTCTTCCCTTCTAAGGCATATAAAATTGAAATAAGATCCTGAAAACAAATGCCAGTGTTTTTTTTTTGTCTTAGAGCCCCAAACCAGTAAAGTCATAGGCGTTCAAACCCTGCCATTTCCTCCTTTCTTGCTAGGTCACCTGGCAGCCCTGCTCTGTCCCATTGTTCTTGTCATCCCCATGGGCTCTGGGCAACTGATGCTTTTGTTGTGTTTCTTCCTCTGTCTGCTCGCAAAGGTGTAGACATCTAGGAACAGGCTTCTCGTTTCCTCTGGGATACTTCTGGGGGACTGTTAGAGCCTGTGAGAGTCCATTTCCCTGTATGACACCCAAAAGTTCATTTCTTCTTTTTCATGAGACTCTCAAGAATTTTAGCTTTGTCTTCCTTAAGAGTAATTTTTCAGCTGGTGTGGTGGCTCACACCTGTAATCCCACCACTTTGGGAGGCCAAGGTGGGAGAATCACTTGAGACCAGGAGTTTGAGAGAAACCAGATCAACATAGTGAGACCTTGTCTCTACAAAACATAAAAAAATTAGCTGAGCATGGTGGTGCATGCCTGTAGTCACAGCTACGTGGGAGGTTGAGGTGGGAGGATCGCTTGAGCCCAGAAGTTCAAAATTACAGTGAGCTATGATTGTACCACTGCATTCCAGCCTGGTTGACAGAGAGAGACCTAGTAGCTTAAAAAAAAAAAGTAAATTTTCTGCCACGTACGAGCATCTCTCATTATTGTTTAGGGAGTCTGTGACATACCTTTTTTAGGGAGAGTTAATCCCGGTATTTAAAGGCCCAGCTCTCCATTCAATGTTTTCTTCAAAGTTTCTCTCAAGAGGCTGAGTCTTTAACAAAAATTAAAAATAAAAAGAAGAATTTAAATATTGAGATTAGGACTCCCTTTTGCTATGGTTGAAGTTGTTTGGTTGATTATCAGTGATTGAAAAGATGCATGTGCATGTATATTACAAATAATCCTACAGATTTCAGTATCAGTCACCCATTGCTCTATGACCAATAACAATGCAGGTTTTGTTTCTGTATTTCAGAAGTGTGTCTTGGAGGAGAGAAAGTTTAGAAGAAAGTTAGTTTAATTAAATTATCTGTACTTATTTGCAGTGGTATAAAATGTACATATGTAGCAGGTATGTAAAAATTAATTTTTCCCTCATTTCCTGTTTCTCAATGCTATTTGAGTCATTAATTTCTTCATTCAGTAAATGGGCATTGATGCTTATGTACTATGCACCATGGTCTGTGCTGGGGATATCACAGAAAATAAAGAGTATATGAACTTGATCTCATAGCCTTGCAGTTTAGTAGCTGTAGATAGCATTCATAGTTAACTTCATCATCACTGCCCATCTCAATTTAGGAATCTTGTTAAGACCTAGCACATCTGGTCATTTTCAGCATGAAGAAATATACAATTTAAGAAACAGAGCCCAGGCACAGTGGTTGACGTCTGTAATCCCAGCATTTTAAGAGGCTGAGGTGGGTGGATCACCTAAGGTCAGGAGTTCAAGACCAGCCTGACCAACATGGTGAAACCCCTTCTCTACTAAAAATGCAAAAATTAGCTGGGCATGGTGACACATGCTTATAATCCCAGCTTCTTGGGAGGCTGAGGCAGGAGAATCGCTTGAACCTAGGAGGCAGAGGTTGCAGTGAGCTGAGATCACGTCACTACACTCCAGCCTGGCGACAGAGCAAGACTCGGTCTCAAAAAAAAAACCCAAAAACCAAAAAAAAAAAGAGAAAAAAAAAGAAAAAAACCAGAAGGCAAACAATTCAGAGTATTGCCAGTATACATTGTGTGACTTTTTGAAAAAGGTTAATTTGTGATATGTTTCAGTGTTCAGCAGTATGCTGTGAAAATTGTAAAGATCTTGGTCATAGTAAGGCAAAATGGTTAATTTTGTGTAATGTACCTGTTTTGCATACAATACAAAGGAAATACCAATACTTTTGGTCTTTTTGAGAAGTCAACATAAAGCATAGAATATTAATGCTGTAGGGACGTGGAGAATATCTTATTGAATTCTGTCATGTTTATACAGGGGAAATGAAGGAGCCAGAGACAGTGCTGGGTGTCCCCCAGCCCGTGCTTCAGACAGAGGGGTGTAATTGAGATCAGCTGAGGCTGGATGACCTTACCACTAGCTTCAACTATAAAAAGAGAATTGCAGAGGAAAATACAAACTTAGAAGAGGCCAGGTTTTCTCTAGAGACGTGGCCTAATGCAAAGCCTTGTTCCTGAGGAAAGCCTGTTACAGAGATTTGCTTTCGGAGGTGGCTGGTTTGCCACTTTCAGCAGGAGCAAAGTTGACAACTCTGAGACCTTAAAGAGTGAGGCGACCAAGGGCAGTTCTCAAAATTTTACTCTAAAGGAAATGAAAGGAATTTCCTTGGGAATTTTAGCTATTCAAGAATAAAATCCAAAATGTTTTAGAGAGAAAAAGAGAATTGATTACAATACTGTTTTTAAAAGCCAGTGACCCATTTTATTAATTCCAAGTCACAAATGATTTTAAATGCCTCCCATTTTATATACCCCTGTGGAAAAATCACTGTCCATTAAGCTGTGATCCAAAGCTCTCATCACTTTGATTTTATTTTGTACTTATTGAAAGAACTCTTTGAACTTAGACATAAGTTTTTATCGTTAGTCACTCTTACACCTGCAAGAACAGGGAAAATAAACAGGACCAAGGTCATTGGAAATGTTTGCCTCTGTGACCGCCTCATGCTGCCTGAGGACCAGGAAAATTTCAAGGTTGGTTGGATAAGGTATTCCTAAGTTTGGTTAAAGTATTCCTAAGCTTCTTTACATCAAGAGTTCAGCTCTTCTGTCTCACTCTTCATTGATCATCATTGATGTCTGTGATTTTGTAGATATCTGTTCCACTGAAGACACTGGTGATGCATCATTTTTTAGAATCTGTAAGGTAGCAAAAGGCCATTGGCATAGAGCTCTTTACTTGGCTTTGCAGTTCAGTAGAGAGCTAGTCTACCGTGGTTCAGGAATGCGGCTGATCACTTGCTGGCACTCCCTCCCAACCTGTCTTCCACGCCCAGCTGATTCTGAGTTCTTACAAGAACTTAAGAGTGTGCCTCCCTTTTTTCAGGATTTTTATTTCCACATTGCTGATGTTCAGTCATGCTTAGATGGTGAGAACTCTCTTGCAATTGCCATAAGGCAGACAGAGATTGTCAGATGCCACCGACTCTGAAACGTCCTTATTTCCTGCTTCAGAGATGTAAGAATGTAAAAAGAAATGTGTCTCAGAACTAATGAAAGATGGCACAGAAAGACTTTATTTCCTTTACTGCTCTTCTCCCTTTGGTATTTGACCTGTTCTGCTGCAGACAAGGTCAATTAGCTGCTTCATTTTGTCACTGTAAGGAATCAAGGTTGGAGTTCTGTAGAGTGCCTGCCTGGTGTTTCTCTAGGTCACGGTCAGAATGCTGGTGATCTCTGAGCTGTCCACAGGTGTCCTGTGCAGAGCGGGCTGTGGCTGCAAAGTTTGAAAGAGGCTGTACAGCGCACTTCTCTTATTTTCTTTATTCATTTATTTTTTAGAGCAGCTCTGAATATCTATCACATCACTCTCTTGGAGAAGAGACGTAATGTGGGTATTAGCCTCTGAAAAAGTCCTGCACTGAAGAATCCTGTTTGAATGCTTACTTCTGTGTTCCCAAGCTTATTGAGTATCAAAGTCTTTCCCCTCCCTGTCTTTTTAAGAGGACAGAGTTAGAGTATCCTCTAGGGTATGTCAAGGCTCAGTCCTAACATCCAAGCCTGTATCACCGCTGCTGACCTTCCATAGGACCCTCACTGAGTTATCCTCAGAGGAAGGGCATATCCACAGAAAAGCTAGCAACATTTTCCCAGTCTTCAGGTAGCCTGAGGCTATGACCAAGGCAGACCTTTTCCAAGGCTCCTTTCCAGTGATGGCTTATCTTTATGTCCCTACCGGGGGTGTTCATGTCTGCATCTCATACTCAGTGGTTGGTTCCTCTTTCTTAAATGGTAGTGCTCTTTTCACCCTCACCTGTTAGTCTGCACACTTTCACACCCTTCCCAGATCTGCCCTCCAGTAAGCATTTGATAAGCGTTTAAGAAATGATGAAGTATTGCAGAAGACTGATACTGAAGCTCTTTTCTTGCTAGTGTGTGTGTGTGTGTGTGTGTACACATATTTTAGACAAATGTACACACACATGCTTATTATGTGTTCTGTGTATTATGCCTGTTCAGGTATATTAGAGGTAACGGTGTCATCTATGAGGTAGGTATGGTTAATCCTGCTGTTCTAGGGAGGTAACTGGAGGCTGAGAGGTGAGTGAGTGAATGTGCCAATAGATTCGTCTGAGCTTTGTGATCCTCACTTGAAACCTTGCTCTCAAATGTTATAAAACCATCTCCTAAGGACCCACTATTACCACAAAACACTTTTGGAAACCAGTTTGCTCACCACAACAAAGGCCCGGGACAGTCACCAGCTTCCTGGAGGAGGGAAGGCTGGTTCTGAGCGGAGGTTGGTGGAAAGCCAGCACTCTGTCCCTGCTGCGCAGTTTTTCACAGAGCTGGCTACATGCATAGAAACCGATTTAAGTTACTAGAGTCAACATGCCGACCCAAAGTTGTGCCTTGGAGTTGGCTCTCAAGCTGTGGTCCTGGTGTTTCTGAGTTCTTATGATCTGAGTAGAAAAAAATACATAAATAAAAAGCAAAACAAGCCTAGAATCTTCTGCTCTGATCCAGTCGACAATGATCTTATTTCTTAATACTTTGACCTGAACCTGCAAAGTGGCTCTGTCGATGCAGAGAACATGGTTGGAACACACAGTTTCTGCCTTTTCATTCATTTGAGTCACTAAAACTTAAGGATCCTTGGCAGCCCATGAATGATGGTGGAACTGTGTGCATAGTGTGGTCTTTCCTTCTTTATACTTTTCTGTATTTTCTAAACCTCTCGTTATGTGTAGGTGTTAATTTTTAATGAGTAGACAGTATGTGTGTGTGGTAGGGAAGGAGAGGATTGTAAGGGATAAAGAGGAGCTGCCTGGGAAAGTTATGTGGGAGGGAGGCGGAAGAATAATGAAAGTCCACTTCACATGGGGAAAAAGTGAGTGGTGATGCTGACTTCCGTTATCTTTCCACATTCCATGCTGGTTGGAAAAATAATGACTTGAGTGCTATTCCCATTCCTGGTTTGCCATGGGCAGCATCTATGATGTCCCCTTGCCTGTTTGCCTCTGGGGTGATCTACCGTCCAAATTAGCTTGGATCTGAGTGCCTTCCCGAGACGTAAGACTTTCAGTGCTAAAACTGGGGGCAATTTTCAGTTGATCATCCACCACCTCCTTTCCTTAGAACTCTCTCAGGTAGTTCCTCCTTACCCCTTTCATTCAACACACCCCCTCCCTGCCACACACACACATGCTCTCTTCTCATTGAAAATTAATACCTACACAGAACAAAGAAGTTTGGAAAATATAGAAAAGTAAAAATAAGGAAAACCACACATGCATACGGCTCTACCATCATCTAGGGACATCTGCTATGAACATTGTGATATATTTACTTTCAGGTTTCTTTTCTATATAGGCAACCTTTCTGTGACTTATTTTCACATTTCATAGCTGCCCTCAATACTCATTTCAACTAAATTATCTTCATAAAATTATTTGCAGGAGTGAGGAGAGCCTTGGATGATTTATTTCCTCCTATATTCCTGAGATATGACCCTGGATGGATGCCCAAGGTGTAACGTACAAGAACTATCAAAGACTTCAGTATCAGGTAATTAAATCCTTAACAGAGGTTGGCAACCATTTTGAGGTTTATAGATAAAGGAGGGCAGGGGAAATTGCAGAAAGTTTAGCAGAGAACCACAATAGCTGTGGAATATTTCATTAGGAGATTACAGAGCCGATGCCATAATTATTATCAGTATATGAGTATTTTTTATATGAAAGAGAGTGATAAATTTTTCTCCTCCCTCTAGTGAACGTCAGAGAAGACGAAATGAGTCTTAAGCATAGTGTGAAGGATTTAGACTAGATAATAAGAAAAGTTACCAACTACCTTAGTGGGTTCGAGAGAGTCTAAGAAATCTCCTTCCCTGAAAGTCTTTAAAAATGATAGAGATCTTCCTGTCAGGGAAGGATTAAGTGTGGGCCTGCCTAATGTAGAAGAATAAACAAAATAGCCTGCCATGTAGTCTCAGCCAGCACTCAGGTTCTATGATTCTATATCTATTAGAGAGCACATAAAATGCATGTAAAATTGATTTTTATTTTACATTTTCCTTTGAGAAACAAAGAAAAATAGATAGTGATATTTTTAAGGCTCACGTTTAATTTCCAGACAGTTGCAGAACAGCATGGGTGCTATGGGGTTGGATGGTAACATCAGAGGGGAAGCACTGGGCTGTAATGAAGTTGACTTTCATTATGTTTCCAAATTATATTCTTGTTACTTTTCCCTGAAACTTTAAAATAGGTCCATTTAGTTCAGTAAATGTCTTAGCTGGGAGTTTAAGTCTCATTTGTATTTCAAGGGATTATATCAAATCTACCTGGTTTGCAACGGCGCAAGTAACTTCCAGCCTTTGCTTCTTCAAGCCTGTTCTGTTGATTATTCTTAATTGTTAACAGCGTTTCATTCAAATCTCTTTGTATTTTCTCCTGTGCTTTTCCTCTCGTGCACATTCATGCGAATGGTATATTCCTTGTAAATATAGTCCATGGAGAACATCCCTTTCTATGCAAACTGGCAGCTCAGGGAATAGTTGTGTGCTTACAATGTCATTGAAAGTTGTACAAATCAATTGGCAAAAATTATTTTCTGTGATTATCTTGTTTTTGCAGTTACATTTTTAATTTTGACAGTTTAAGTGTGTTTAGGGGTCACGGTAGTTAAAGGCCAAGCAGAATGTGGGGTAGGTCACTGCTGAGATGCCTACTGCTTGGCTAATGAGGTTTTCTTTAGACTTTTGGTGTCATTTAATCTCATTAACATTGAAGAGAGATACTTTAGAACAAAACAAATGAACAAATATTTATTGGGTGCCGGTGATGTGCAAGGTATACATATGGGGTAGAGTGAGGCATAAATATTAAGAGCCCTTGCTTTCAAGATTTTCACCATCTAATTTAATCAAAATTATATAGTAATAAAATAAGGATGTAGATCACATAGAAAAGGTACCATAAAGTGGGACATGATGAATTGACAGTAAATTATACAGGTTATAAGTACTGGATTTTGGAGAGAGAACTGCAGGCTGCATTAGGAGCCTTTCATTCATGACATCTGGGTTGGCCTCAAAGGTGTTGGCTAAGCAGAAAATGGGCCTTGCGGGATGGTAAAATAATGTGTGTAAATACTGAATAGGAGGAAGCGAAAGGTGTATTTAGGAACCAATAAATACAATTTGGTTGAAAAGGAGACTTTGAGCAGGAGAATAATGGAAAAAGCTTGGAGACCAGTTCTCAGTTAATGCTAAATGCGTTCTTCTGTTGCTGTGGAACAAAGCACCACACATTTCACAGCCGAAAACAATATTAATTTATCATCTCATATAGTTCTGTAGATCAAAAGTCTGGGTAGACACCGCCGGGTCCCCTGCTTAGGGTCTCAAAGGACCAAAATCAAAGGGTTTGGGATTAAGCTAGAGGTCCTGGAAACACTTCCCGTCTAAGCTCATCCAGATTGTTGTCAGAATTCAGATCCTTTGGTTGTAAGAGTGAAGAGTTTATTTTCTTGCTTGCTGTTAGCCAAGGGCCACTCTCAGCTCCCAGCGGACACACTCAAGTCCTTACTGCATGGTTCTCCTATCTCCACAACAGAGGACTCCATTCATGATGAATCCATGTAACTCTTTGAATCTCTGCCTTCCTCTTCCACCACCAGCTGGTGAGAACTCTCTGTCTGTAAAGATCTCATATGATTAGCTGAGGCTCTCTCAGATAATCTTTCTTTTGATTAATTCAAGGCCAGCTGATTAGTGACCTTAATTACATTTACAACATCTCTCTTTGGCCATGCAATACAACATAATCGTGGGCAAAACACATAGATACAAAGATCATGGGAGTCATCTGAGTACCCTGCCTACCACACCAAGCCGATCAAATGATGCCACCATGTCCCTACATGTTGCCTAAGAGCTCAAACCTCAGGACATGTGTGTAGGATAAAGTACCTACTTTAAGTAGTGGCAGAAATGTGGTAGGATTTGGCACTTCTTTCAACTCTTTTTTACCTTTAAGGGAAGTTCTTAGATATTCTTCTATTCAACTTTCAAGGTTATAAGCATGTGAAAGGCTTTCTTATGCCTCTAAAGGCTTTGGCAGTATTACCGACTTGACCTAGATGGGAGGACAAACTTGAAAGAGTAAGAAAAATTCCCCTGAGGGTGTGTATACTATTCATGAATCCTTTTTTTCTTTCCCTGGCCCAAGTATCCTTATATTTACTACATTTTTTAAAGAGTCATGTCATTCCACAAAAAGTACAAAATCCTATTTCAAGGCATAGACTGTAGTAGAGTTGGTGTTGGAATTTAGTTAAGAAAAAATAACTCTAAATGTCTATGACTAAAATTTACCATGCTAATGGTATTCTCCAGTCCGACATGCTTGCAACATGTTGAATCACTCAGGGAAGAAATAGTGTTTATTTCTATCTCTCTCAGTGAGCCATTGCATCCAATCTGAAATTTGACAGTCATCTGAGTGGGCAGCAGAAGAAAAGAAGGCTGAGTGTATAATGCAGAAAATAGTGTCTTGTACAGTATCATCGGAATGAGTTGCTGATGCAGTGTGGCCGTTACATGCAAACAGGATAAATACTGCCAGTCAGCAGATTCCTCGCACCCCTGCTAGCTTTGAGCAGAGCACGGAGCAAGACGTTGCTGAGTGTTTGAAAAATTTTCAAGTCTTCTTAGACTATGAAAGAAGCTCTGTCCCTTCACTGGATGCTTAACTTCATTTAGGAAGAGTGTGAAGACCTTTCTCATAATCTGTGACTTCCATGCTAAGGGATGAATGCAAATATTGTTATCACCTTCCATTGGCAGAGGACTACATTGTTACAGTGGAGAAAAGTGTTAATCCTTTTGTAATTAATGCCTTATTGAGGTCAGCACATGTCAAGGATGTAGTCGGATTTTGGTAAATTAACTTTGAAGTCCTTTTCTCAATTCTCATTTTTCTTTTATCTTAAAAAGTAACCATTGCATATAACTTTGTACTTTTTCTTTTACCAATGATATAAGACTTAGCTTTTACATTGACATGAAACGAAACTAGACAAAAGGTGAGTAGGAAGGACACATGGCTCTTACTATCCTACCCCCTTAACTAAACACAAACAAAAATTCAGCATAGAGAAATTACTATGATCTTGTAGTAAAGAATAATCATTGGTTTAATAATTTCTAGGTCTCATACCTGGAAAGTAACCAGTTCTTACTAAATGGTATCTATTATGATTACTATTAATATCATTTTCACATACATATATAAGATGACCAGTCATTTCACATACTGGAGTAGAAGTGCAAACAGTGACCATGTCTTAAGTTCAGCAGGGCTAGAGTGATGGGATGGCGTGTTCCTGAAAGAGGTGGGTTTCAGTCAGTGCTTTCCAGAGTGGTTTCTTTAAAAAAAAAAAACAACCCTAGTTTGTTATGATTAACACAGTCCTGGGGTCAAATATGTTTAGTTATCACAGGCTGGAAAGATTCAAAAGGTTTATTCACTTTGTGACTTCTCAGAGCGTTTTATGACAATTACATAATAACTCTCCCAAAGCAAGACTCAATATGTAGTGATTCCCAAGCATATTTGATCTTTTTGTTCTTCCATGGAGCTCCCACAGCTGGAGTGGTGGAGTGAACTCTGGGAAATGTAAGATCCTGTCTTGAAAGATGGCTGGGAGGCCTCAGGTAGTCGATGGAAGTGGGGCAAGCATTGTGTATTATAAGCAGACGCTTTGGAAGGAGCAAAGGCAGAAGTGTGGTGAGCCATGAGAGACTAGCTAAAAGGGTGGATGGGGACAAATGGGGAGGAAAGGACTGTTTTGAAGAAACAGGAAATGAGTGGAGGTAGTTGGGTTTTTTTGTAGTTATTGTCTTGCTAGCATTTTGTAAAAGACAGATTAATCTGTCAACACGTCCAGAGTGGTCTGGATAGGCAGAGCCTGTAGGCAGGAAAACTAGTCAGGAGTCTTTTGTGTTTGTCCAAGCACGGGGTTACCAGATCCTCCCCAACCTTGTTTCTCTTGTGTGATCTCTCAGCTGATGATGGTGTGGTCCCTGCTGTGCTTGGGCTCCATGTTGGCAGGTGTCCAGCATTATCTCAGGGACCCAATATTTCCACCAGGTCTCCAAGGTAACACCTTTCTTAATGTCTGGATATGCCTTATAACATTTATGTTTCTCTAAGTCTGTCTTTGACTCTACACCGTTTCTTTTTATTTTATTTAATTTTTAAAGTTTTTAAATTTTACTTTAAGTTCTGGGATATATGTGAAGAGTGTGCAGGTTTATTACATAGGTATACATGTGCCATGGTGGTTTGCTGCACCTATCAACCTGTCGTCTGGGTTTTAAGCCCCACATGCATTAGATATTTGTTCTAATGTTCTCCCTCCCCTTACCCTCCACACTCTTTCTTAAAAGAACATGTTATTATAACCTGGAGACACTCACCGTTAGGTGCAGCTTCCTTCAAGGTTGGCTGATCTAAAACCTGAACAGACCACAGCCCTTTATGGTGCATTTCATGTTTGCA